TTTTTTATTATATAATTTTTTATTTGTTATTTATATATATATATATATATATATATATATATATATATATGTGTGTGTGTATGTGTATGTGTGTGTGTTAATTAAGATATTAAGGAGAGTTCACAAAATAGGTTGGAAGGAAAAGAGAGATCATTGAATTCATTGGTCTTCTGCATTTAGCTAGTAGACCTACAGTGTTTTTTAGATGAGAATATATAGGTGAAAATGAGTGAGATAAAATAAATATATATATATTCACATATACTTGTATAATATCTTATGTAAAATGTATTACAACTTCATATTGTTCGTGTCATTTCATGCGAATACGGTAGAATTTAAATTTTTTTCCCGGGCTGAAAATTTACATATTAATTAGTATAACTCCCTCAACTTAACTTAAGAAGCATTTAATTCTTTTTTCGTTGGCCTACAATATACATTAATTAGTATAACTCTATTATATTATATGTTAAGGGGGTAAGCAGTTTACCAAACATTTCAATTGCTTGAATTTTGGCTGAGGCGCATATGTATGTTCGAAAAACTCTAAGATAAATGGTTTGCTAATATAGGGATGATAAATAAACTCGGACATATGAATAATTTATGAATTTGTTCCAATTTTAATATAAAAAAAATATTCGATTTGATTGAATATATGTTCTAATTTTGATATAAAAAAAATATTCGATTTGATCGTGTATATATATATATGTGAATACAAGGAATATTCAATTTATTAAATATGGTATGAGAATAGAGATGAATATATACATACTCATCTCATATCCACTTTAAATTTTTTATGCTTAATTTATGTTTTTTTAAAATTTACTTAATATTTATGTAATTCCACTAGTGGAAAAAGGAGCTACTACGTCTCTTCATTTACGTCGGAAACTAGCACACCCGACGTTGTAAAAACGCGGTGGCAGTTCCGTAAATAAGAGGAGGAAATTTACGTCGGACATCGATGGGTCCGATGTAAATGAGATAATTTACGTCGGATAGCTAAAGCAGCCGACGTAAATTATCTCATTTACGTCGGACCCATCTTTGTCCGACGTAAATAACTCCTTAAATGAAGAGCGCGCACTACAAATTTCAAATCATGGCATTCTTCTTCATCTTCACGTTCTCCCGCGCGTTGTGGATTCTTCCTCATCCCTCCGCCTCCTCCTCAAATCGTGGTTGTCTTCCTCATCTTCACGTTTTTCTGTTTTTCTTCTTCGGAGTTGCGTTGTTTCTTCTTCGCGTGTTGATGGAAATGGCTTAACCATACATCCATCTGTTTTTCTATGAGGTAGTGACCACTCCTTAACCGATGTTTGTGTTTTCTGGGATGTATTTTTCATAATAATGTTTGTGTTGCATTTCGTGTTTGTGAAGCTGCAGAAGGAAGTGACCACTGCCTGGGTTTATCAAGCAGAACGGGTCGTTCTGCTTGGAGAACAGCCTGTTCTGCTAGCAGAACGGCCCGTTCTCCATGGAGAACAGACCGTTCTCCAAGCAGAACGGGACGTTCTCCAAGGAGAATGGGTCGTTCTGCTTGCACTCGTTTTTCTTTTTTTTTTTTAATTTTCATGACTTTTTTACGTCGGACCTTGGCATGTCCGACGTAAATTTACGTCGGTTTTTGGCCCCCGACGTAAATTTTACGTCTCCCGTATTGACGTCTGATGCTTTTCCGACGTAAAATGCTTCAAATACCCGACGTAAAAGGGGTCTTTTGTACTAGTGTTCTTACTTTATTTTTAATTTGTATCAAATAAAACCTAATTAATGTAATTAATTTTATAATAATTATTTTATGTTGAAATTCTTTTTTATATATTTATTTGTAAAAAATATTTAATTAACTTTTGGACATGTATGAGACAAATACGAATATGTCTGATATCCGACAGATATAGAAATGAGAACATAAATTTCATACCCATCAAGTATGATGACAAAGATGAGGATAGTGAAATCCTACCCATCCCGCCTTATTATCATCCCTACTTATATATAACTCCTTTTCATTTTATTTTTTTAAAGATCATAAGTATCTTTTATTAAACAAAGTTTTGTTTAAGAGAAAAAATATTAGTATAAGGTAAGTACTTAACAAAATTGTATATTCAGATTCAAATTCAAAACCATAACTTTTATATATATATATAT